TTTTTGCCTGCAGATCTTCAAGTTTATGTGACATTAGGCATAAGTCATCGGCGAAATCCAAGTCTTCTAGATTCTTTTCCGTCGTCCAGTGTATCCCCCTCTTCTCGCTGCCTACTGTTTGCTGCATGATCCAGTCCACCACAATCAGGAATATCATAGGGGATAGTAGACAGCCTTGTTTCACTCCTGTCTTCACTTCAAAGGCATCACTGAGCTTCCCATTGTGAATTACTTGGCATGTGGCATCTTCATATAGTTGTTGAATGAGGCGGATAAAGGTTTGCGGTACTCCGTAGTATTGAAGCAGTTTCCAAATTACTTCTCGGTCGACGCTGTCAAAGGCCTTCTCAAAGTCGATAAAGTTGAGGTAGAGAGCTGATTGCCATTCTATGCTCTGTTCTATGATGATGCGAAGCGTTGCAATTTGGTCTGCACATGATTTGTACTTCCTGAAGCCTGCCTGTTCCGGTCGTAGTTTTGAATCCAGTGCATCCCTTAGCCTCTCCAGGATGATGCGGCTTAATATTTTACTTGGGGTGGACAGGAGAGTGATTCCGCGCCAGTTCTTGCAAGCACTGAGGTCTCCCTTCTTCGGCAGTTTGACAAGATAACCCTTCTTCCAATCGTCCGGTACCTTCTCTTCCTTCCACACCTTCTGCAATAGTGGTGTGAGCATGTCCGCTGTTGTCTCTGCATCTGTTCTCAGTGCTTCTGGTGGTATTCCATCTGGTCCTGCTGCTTTACCGCATTTCAGTAGCTTTATGGCTTTCAGGACTTCCATTTTCGTTGGGGGATTTATGTTCACTTGTAATTCAGCGGCTGCAGGTGGTATTTCTGGACGAAGTGCAGGTGGTGGTCGATTCAAGAGCTTCTTGAAGTGGTCGGCCCATCGTTTCCTCTGTTTCTCTTCTTTTGTAATTAAATTTCCTTCTTCATCTTTTATTGGTTTCATCTGTGTTGGTCTCTTCCCTGATAGCAACCTGGTTATTTGATACAATGTCGTCAGGTCTCTCTTACCTGCAGCCTGTTCTGCTTCACTTGCCAGTGTTTCGTAGAAGTGTCTTTTGTCTTTGCGTGCGCTCTTCTTTGCTTCTTTGTTCAGTGTTTTATACATTGTGCTCAGTTCCTCTTGTCGTTGAGCATCCTTGCACTGGTTTATCTTCTGCTTCACCATCCTCCTCTCCTCTATCAGCTTCCAGGTATCCGTCGAGATCCATTCCTTGTCTTCTTTCTTCTTCCTTCCTAATACTGTTGTGCAGGTTTCTTTCCACATAGCTTTCAAAAACTTCCAGTGTTCTTCCACACAGGTTTCTTCAGGGATGTCCCTCGATATCTCCCATTTTGTCTTGATGGCTGCCTTGAAGATCTCCTTTGTAGTTTCATCCTTCAGTTTCCGAGTGTTGTACTTGAATTGAGGTCTATCACCAGCTTCCTTGAAGGCTTTTAACTTGATTTGGAAGGTTCCTTGCACTAGACCGTGAGTGGTCTGAACCTACATCTGCTCCTCTTCTTGACCTTGTGTTAAGTAGACTGCGTCTCCATTTTCTTGAGATTGAGATAAAGTCGATTTGATTTTTAGTGTGTCCATCTGGTGAAGTCCATGTCGCTTTGTGGATATCTTTGTGCCTGAACACACTGCCTCCAATCACCAAATCGTTGAATGCGCAGAATTCTGCAAACAATTCTCCATTCTCATTCATTTCACCTAGTGCCTCTCGACCCATGGTTAGTTCTCTTCCCGTGTTGTCCCCTCCCAGTTTGGCATTCATGTCGCCCATCAGAATTTTGATATCGCCAACTGACGTCTTGTCCAGTGTTGATTGAAGTTGTCTGTAGAAATCCTCCTTTTTCTCTTGCTCTGCATTATTTGTAGGTGCATAACATTGTATGATTGTGACCTTTCTTCCTTTTGAGTTGAATCTTGCTGTCATGATCCTGGGGGAGATTGGTTCCCACTGCATGAGAGCCTTCGATGCTCTTGAGGACATCATGATAGCCACTCCCTCAGTGTGCTCGTGGTTGGCGTCTGGGTGACCGGAGTAGATTATTGATTCTCCAGTTGACAGTTTGAAGAGTCCACTCCCATTCCATCTGCTTTCGCAAATCCCAAGCACTTCGATGTGATACCTTCTCATCTCGTTTGCAATCTGGGCTGCCTTACTGGGTTCAAACATCGTACGGACATTCCATGTCCCCACGTTTTCGTCAAATGAAAGTTATTAGGTTGTAAATGACACTGTCAAAGACTTCCATTATCTTACTTTAATGATTTAAACACACGAATTGCTACTTCACATCTTTTCAGGGCAGTATAAAGTTAGCAATATGCTAAACACCTTTATAAAAATTCAAGAATACTTCATAACAATTGACTGATTCAGTCTGGTTTATTTCACAATATATTATACGAGGTGATATCGAAGTGAGCGAAATTAAACAGTTAATCTTCATGTTTTTCTGCAACAGAGGCACGCGGACTAGATAAAATTACTGTTTTCTAGTATTTAGAAGTTACTACGCATTCAATCACTGATAATAATCATTTGATAATTGTACATAACATGGTCACTGTATATGCAACGCTTGCTGAAATCGAACCATAGGTGACATTAGTGAACATATTTTGGGTGAAACAGCGAATAAATTACCATAATTCATCAACCAATTTAACTCAAATAGTCTTGATGACATATTCTAGTTTCGTAAAGTGGACTTCTCAAGTAATTCAGTGAATGAAATAGGTTACAATAAATTTATTTCCAAAAATTGTACAACTTCACATATCATACATTTCTTAATCCTTGTTTATGTGCTTTTTCGAAGAGATATAATGAGAGTGAGTTGTGCTGAAAAGCCAGTATGTGCATTCGTGTGTACAGTGAAAATTTAGTGAAATATTTAGAAATAAACGGGAAGATATGGAAGATATCTGTGAAATCGTAGCTATGCATTAATTTAAAGGAAATGTGATAGCAATAAGTAACGAAATTCTAATAAGACCAGTTTAAACTAAGTTTTTGTGATATGAGGGATAATAATGGGACGTAAATAGTCCAAGTCGTTATTCATCGTAGACCGACATCAGTTGGAGGAACAAAGGGAATCTAGGAGCACTGGACAGCTGTTTCGTCCTAGTATGAGACTCTTCAGCAGTGCGCACCCACGACCCTACACAACCAGGGATCGGGCCCGTGACCTTCAGGTTCCGTGGCCAGCACGTTACCACTGAGCCACTGGGTCAGAGTCCAGTGGTCCATATTTTCAACTTCTGTTGGCTCACGAAGGTCACAGGTTCTATCTCTGGTGGGGTCCTGGGTAAGCAATGCTGAAGAGTCCCATACTAGGACGAAACAGAAGTCCGGTGTTCCCAGGTTTCCTTTATTCCTCCAACTGATGTCGGTCTACGATGAATAACAACTTGAAATATTTCCGAATTCTCACCACTCCCTCAAAATTCAGATGTAAATAGAACGAAAATGCAATACCATTAGTGTAAAATTTAAAATAAAATAAAACCGGAGACATGTTAGAAAACTTGATACAAGAGTATTCAATGTTCAAGATATTCAGGTGCTGTATTAATTAACCATGTTAAAACGATGGTAACGAAACAGATTTAAAAAAACTGTTTCATATGCACAACTTTGGCTTCAAATTATTCGTCGCCGAGGAATCTGCAATATGTAGTAAATGGAGACGCATATATCAAGGAAGGTTTGTTTGGATTTTGCAAATGATATGGAATGGGATATTCTAAGCTGAATACACTGTATGGATCACATGTTCCAGAATAGATGAGTTGACTGGTCTTCTTTGCTCTTCACTAAACCATAACGGGAGAGATTTCCGTATGTGGCGAAGGATATGCTTAGACGAACGAGCCACATACCGAGCACGACAGGATTAGGTAAATTGATAAACCCATATTTAACTTGTTAGTCTTGGCAACAATAGGGTTTATGTAAAAGCAAGTTTGATATGTCATTTTAAGGTTTGCTACATGAAATGTCTTATGAGTCGACCTTTGAGGATAGTTTTTCAGAATATCATCAGCAGTATCCCTTTAACTTCCAGATTCAAGTATAATATTTTCCTAGTCTGTTCCACATGCATATATTTATTCTATATCTTTCTGACACCATAAATTCGTACATTAAGATAAACTATATTACAAAATTCCAACAATAAGTAAACTGTCGTTTTCACTGATATGACGCTGACAGCCTCAGTAGGTGTTAAGATTTGTCAGTATTTATACGTCTATTTAATATAAAATGCCAATTTAATGAGACAGTTACCAAAGGTAAAATGGCTTTAGTCCATGAGGGGTTCAAACTAGTGGTTTCCGAACCGTCAAAAACCAACTTCCAACCGGTTTTCATCAATGCTTTGTTATAAGACAAAAGTCTGTGACGTTTTTTGTATTGAAATGCAATCATCCAAGATATCACAGTAACATAACAAGAAGTGGAACGTGAAGATAATCAGAGAGAAAGGACATGCGTGCATATGAAGAATCTTAAGGATAAAACATCCTACCAAAAAGGCTTTAGTGACTTCAGTATTCCATAAAGGTTAGGAAAAAATTTCGGTACTATAGTAGAGTATAAATTTATAAATTTAAAGAAGTTAGATTATAATGTTTCACAGTCTGACGTTTTGAGCACAACTCACTACTCACAATCATATCAAGATGACGTTATAATCGGCGATCATTTGTAGTGAAAACATCATCCAGTAAAAAAACTTTCTCGCTGTGTACTATGTCAAACAGGATTATTTAGTATCAACTTAAGGTACCATTAGGGTCTCTGACCAGTGAATAATAAAATGCAAAACTGAAATACTTAATCGCGAAGTAAGTTTACACACGAGACAGAATATGGTTCACAGGTAATAATTTTACATGACGCATGACAGGAAATAAAGTGAAATTTTTGTCTTATTCAGGCTTTTATCTCTTTTTTTCAACATCTTACAACCTGTTGTTTAAATGACTGTTTAGATTCAAACTTCAATGAATATATGATCCAAAATTAATCAGGTCCCAAACAGCATCTATTATCAGAGTTGAGACAGAAGACTGACTTCTTTCATTGTTACACACATTCATACACAATTCAGTGATGCCTGAGACAAAAGTTTGCTCAAAGTGTAAACAAGGCATTAAAGAAAGTCACTTTCTACTGGCTGATTATCAATACTGGCATGAAGACTGTCTGCGATGTGTCTGCTGTGATGCGAGATTAGCAGAATTAGATAAAATCTACTACATCAAAGCGAGAATGTCATTATGTCGACGAGATTACTTAAGGTGAGTTGTTGATAATTTTTTCTTTCAATGCGTGTTTTTCTGCTATATAGTTATATGTTAACACTCTCCTGAAAGTCAGTCTTTGTCACATACATCCAACAGGTATTCACTGCAAGTAACGCAACTGTAGGTAAGATTTACTCAAGAATTCTGATACTGTTTTTGAAGGGGAAATGTGCATAACGACTTCTAAACAAAGTCATTAAAGGATTTTATTAGGGTCAGTGTGATGTAACGCGATTATTTCACAAGTAACTCTCTCTGTTACATAAGTAACGAACAGAGATACAATGGTAGAGTGTTTTGCAAGTAAAATGTAGACTCTGCTCATGAATATTAAAGTAAGGTGGATATCTAGCTGGGAATTAGTCTTACCTACAAAGTCATGAAGCCATAATAAACGAGCTCTTACTATGTAAAGCTGCTTTTTGGGAAGCACAAACTCAATATGTCTTCATCAAATAAAATAATATACTTACTAATACGTTGTGCTACTGAAGTTGTTCCTTCATTCATGTAATTGCTCAGGAATACTATCTGAAGATTATGCTTCCTCTTAGTCCATCCAGCCAAAACAGTACATTTAATTTGCAGGTTTGTGCGGAATTATTGATTTTAAGTTATTACTGATTATGGACTGACATCACCTGCAGAAGTACTGAACATCCGGGAGCAATGGACAGCTGTTTTATCACAGTGTGTAATTCTACAGAACTGCACACTCAGGACCCTGGCAGCAGTTAAGACCAGCACATTCATTTTGCATGGTGTACACGTTATCATTAAGTCACTGGGTTGGAATACAATTTTCTACACTTTCGTGATTCTGTTAATTTGCGATATGCCGTGATATTCACCCAGTTCTATCCGTGAGTACTTGACCTCATGTCTGACGTGATTTGCGCAACCGATAACAAATTCTTGGCAAAACATCAGGAGATCTTATCTCGACGAGTATTAGTGATCAGTGCTACACAGTAATTCAGTTTACAGAGGCTTTACAGTATGAATCAGAAATGGTTCTAAACAGTCCACGCAGAACAAAAACTTTTTGTTAGCTATCAACACCATGGACTTGAATAGTTTGCCACTATAAAATAAGAAGTAATTTATAACAAAGACGAAGGTTAGAAGTTCAATGAGGATACCTTTTCCTACGATTTCGTTCTCTATCGTTATACAAAGATAATTTACAAGTTTTTCACGCTACAATATTTCATAGTTACAGGAATTGTTTTCATGTTGATCGAAGTGACAAGGAGATGACTAAACAAAAGTTCGGTTTGTCTTGATTTTCAGCTTTTATTTGTGTTTTCCTTCATAACTAAATATTATATCTTAGGCGTTAGTAACGTTAAACAGTAATCTTCACCAATGTCTATCTTCAAAATCTTCTCCACATATTGTTTGACTTTCAATTAGAATAAGCTAATCGCTCTTCTTTCCATACCGTCTTACGACTGATTCTCATCCTCCGTAAAGCTTGACTTCCTCTTCAGTAATTTTCCAAATTTCCATGACTTATTTAATTCTATTTTCGTTACTTACGTACATGAAAACATGTAATACCTGCAACTATGAGGTATTGTAGAATGAAACGAATAAATCTCTGCCGTACAGCTATAGAGAAGAGAAAAACCCTGGAAATAAGATATCTTCGCTCAACTTCTGGTCTTCTTCCTCAACTTCCGGATCATTAATTTAGACTAACTGTGATTCACATAAATGAAAATTGAAAGAGAAGGGTTATTGTAGTTGGGGGCATTAGTGACATGAAACATGAAGTGAATATTTTCATACTATACTTTAGTAATACCTGAGGTTTAAAGTTAGGTGTGAAATTTCGACGGATAGCTTGACACAATTTAGTTACTTGATGGCTATTAGAGTTTTTTTTGGTATTAAACCCATATCTTTCACACTTCGTTTTCAACTCGTTAAAATGGCCAACATTTTATTTGAACATGTTTAAAAGTGGGTGTCAACAGCAAGGAATAACTAGTGGTAAATACTGCACGAGGTTAATATCACCTTTATAACTACATGACAATGTATGTCTGAAAACTTTTACCAAAAGTGATTATAAGCATTCAAAAAAAGTTCTAACATTTCACAAGTAAATGAATACAATGCTCAATAGCTTCTAATATATAGAACGTGGCTACAATTAAATTCGGTGACCTTGGAAACGCGTCCAATGTTAAATTTACAAATTACTGATTTTCTTCAATAATTTTATTTATACCCTATAGGTATATTCCTCCGTTCACTTTCTTCTCTGATGAATTTTTAACTTTATGAAAAAAAGAAATATCGTTCGTTAGTAAATAGAACAAGAATGATATACGCTGAAATAGTGGAGAATATTTGTAGCTCAGGTGGATGTTTTTGGTTGTATTATGTTCTCTGAACTGGGTTGTTTAATCGTGAAGCTTTCATCGTCCTTCTAGTCGACATCATCAGCATTCCTGGATGTTCTAGTCAATAGAAGAAATGCCGGAAAGCCGGAAACTGAAGTCTACAGGAAGCCAGCATACACTGACCAAGTCCTCAACTACAGTAGCAGCAACCCAACAACCCACAAGATCAGTTGCGTGCAGACTCTATTCAGAAGAGCAAGAACACACTGCAGCACAACAACTTCACGGAGAAACAAAAAAAATTACCTGATGTCCACCCTAAAGAAGAACGGCTACCCATGAAACTTTATCAGAAGATGCCTATTCCGTGCATCATCAACTACAAAGTCATCAACAGAAATCAACAAACGCATCATCCTACCATACATAAAGAATACATCAGAAATCACGACAGGATTACTCAGACCACTTGGAATTGGTGTAGCTCATAAACCAAAAAGTCCCTGCAAACCCTATTATGCAAACCAAAGGACACAACAACCAAAGAAGACAAACCGAATATCATTTACAAAATCAACTGCAATAACTGCAGTCAACACTACATTGGACAAAATGGTCGCCTTCGTCTATATGAACACCAATTGGCTATTGAACGTCCCATCTCATCACTCATTTCAATGCAAGCGGATAATTATGGAAATGAATTCAATTTCGAAAATGTAGAAATTTTGGACGGAGAGAAGAAACACAAAGGATATCAGAGAATTCCTAGAAGTTTAGCATTCAGATCAGTCGGTCAGCAATCAACAGATGTATAGACATAGACCCAATCTATCAACCAATAAGGAAGGTGATAAACAACAGAAAGGTCAGAGGTGAAGCAGAAGGACAGCCAACAGGAAAATCTATACAGCCAATGACACAACAAACAAAGGAAACAACCAGTTAGAAGCCAGTTTGTCAGAGCAAGCTACTAAATCACTCAGGGAGAGACATTGACAGCTCACTCCATACTGAAGTTAGTGCTGATGATGTCGTCTAGAAGGACGATGAAAGCTTCATGATTAAACAAACCAGCTCAGAGAATACAATACAACGAGAATGATATATGTATATGTATAACTGACCAGGATGACACACTGCTAGAAATTCTCTCATCTCGTTTAAGTTAATTTCCAATCAGTTTCTCTCATTAACTAATAAGAGGTTATATAAACAACCAGATCATAGTTGTTACGAATATTCTAAAAAAAGTTGACCGCCGAGTTTGATTGAATCATCTTAAGAATATGTTTTAATATAATCTCAACCTGTTAAAAAGTCAAAACAAGATATTTCTGAACATATCGTTGTGTAAGCCACAGCTTTTTCTACTGGGATCATTCACAATATATGCTTGTGATAATAGGAGGTTTAGCCTAAAAAAAGTAACCAGTCATACTCAAAAATATTATGAAGCAAGTAATAACTAAATGGAATGAACGATTTGCAAATGATTTACAGATCGCGCGTTCCATGTTGACATTCCTCATAGTTGAGTAGTTTTCCAACTGCCTAAATCTGGTGTCAACAGGGTTTCCGCTAAAAACCACTCAGTTAAGATCACAAGGTGTGCTGTCTGATACAAAAGTCCCATGAACTTTCAAAATGTATTACTAGACAACATTATTAGTCGGATGTCTAAGCATCTATCAATACTGATGAAATTTGTATTTATCTAAGAATTCTTGCATGTATTTTTGAAACTACTTATTATCCAGTAGAAGAGCTACACGGAAAAGCTATGTAAAAGAAAAGTGAAACAGTACACCATTACTGGCTATTGAACTCTTTCATATCCCATACTGAGGTTAGTGCTGATGATGTCGTCTAGAAAGACAATGAAAGCCCCACGATTAAACAACCAAGATTAGAGAACAAAATACAACCAAGACCATCCATCTGAGCTACAAATATTCTCCACCATTTCAAAATCATATGAGCATATCCCATACTGTCTTCAAACTTAACTCAGCATATCTGACTGCATATATTAGTTTTTAAATAAGACTCTGAAATGTGGTACATGACTTATACGCAAATTCCTCAACCTTTCTACGAATTGTTTCCTTTTTCTAATTATGAATTAACTTTGAAGCCTAAAGCATTAAACTACATAGTAACTGAATCAGTTAAATGCATACAAACACTACAGTAGACATTTAGTGCTAATCAGAGTTAGAGCAAGTTGTTCGCTCAAGTTAGTTGGCTAAGAGATGTATTACTTACAAGTATTTCTGAGTTCATAAGGCTTTCTGAGCTGAGATTGCAAACGGAAAAATTATTGAATCGTCTTAATACTGGATAAATTATCTGTGCATATTGTTTTCTGACTGTAGTTATCTTTCTCCACCTCCAAAATCATGCCTTGAATTTTTCTACTAAAACAACTAATATTCAAGGAGAATCAAAAGTGAATTTTAACCCTAAAATGAATAAAAACTATAGGTTATTAAAACGGTACAACCAAAATGGTTGGTCACCTACCTTAACCCATACTAAACTGCAATAGTTACACATACAATGATCCAACTATCAAACTGTTGGGATGAAATGTGAGAAAACAAGTATGCTGTGACAGTAATACAACAGACACCACCACATTCTTAATTGAAATTATTAAGATGCCATTGTATCAAGCTTTTTATCGGCCGGTTCTAAACTAAAGGCTTTTCTGGGTTTGTCAGGGGAATAACGTATCCTGCGACAGTCAAATTCACAGTAATTTTCACCATAATTGGGAACTTTACTATCTAGGTGTACAACTAATACGGAATAATATTGCTGATGGAAATGATCCACTTGATGATAATCGACTTAAGACTCTTTATAACTTTCCCAATAATCCAAGTAACCAGGTAATATGCTACATTAAAAATCAGAAAAATACATTTCTAAAAATCATAGACTGTAATTTTCCTATAAGTGGTTACATTTTTTCATTATTGGTGAATGCTAGAAGTCACTTCATAGTGTATCTATTCTTACTGAAGCTAACCAGGCATATGTTATCCAACACAATTCATCTTTATGTTGTGTCAGAGCGCAGTAAAAGTATATCGTAGATAAATGGATGAACTTCAATCGACATTGATAACTAGAATGTGACATGAGTTCTTATCTGAACACCAACTGAGTCAATTTTGATACTATTCACCTTTGACTCACTTGATAATCTTGAACAAAGCGAGAATAAAGAAATTCATAATAGTGTTGTTGTTATTTCATGGCATCTTATCTTATACAGATAGACAAAGATTAAGATGACTCTGTGGAAATAATAAATATATTATGCATTTCAGATACATTTAGACAGATATGAAATTAAAAACCTAGGAGTATCATCAACAAAAAAAGTCGAAAAAATATGGGAAGAAAGAACTATGAATCCTGATTGAGATCAGTGTCCAGTAGTGTTTAATCAGATAAAAAAAATCTAAAGTATTTTTGAGATGAATGAAAATTTTTTTATTTTAGAAGTAGCACTCATCATGGACTGACATCATTTGGGGAACCATTGAAAACCTAGGGGCACTGGATAGCTGTTTGGTCCTGAGCAGTACTCACCCACGATCTTGCTAGGGATCGAATTCAGGACCTTCAGGTTTCACGGCGAACGCGTTAACTATTCAGCCACTGGGTTGGTTTTCAGTGGTTCACAATTTCCAAATTCTGTCAATTCACTACACAGCGCGACTGTCACCCAAGGTCTTCAGTTAGCATCCACTTCACTTCCAACTGGTTGACCCCACAGGTCACGGCTTCTCATTAGAGCTTCGTGATATCCATCTGGAAGCAAGTCACTAATGAGCACTATACAGTAATGAATTTTTGAGATGAATGGAGATTTTTTATTTTAGAAATAGTATTCATCATGAACTGATATCAGTTGGGGAACCATTGAAAACCTGGGGGCACTGGATAGTTGTTTGGTCGTAGTATGAGACTCCTGAGCAGTACTCACCCACGACCCTGCTAGGGATCGAACTCAAAAACTTCCCCAACTGATATCAGTCCGTGATGATTACTACTTCCAAAAAATTCTAAAATTATACGAAGACAGAAAGTTACTGAATAACTGGGGTAACTATTCGCAAAGTTAAATTAAGTTTGACCAAAATATATATACATAAAGAGAAATAGAGTGGGATTTGTATTACATAGAATTATCAGGGTAAGAAAAGATTAATCATATCCTCCTTCTGCAAGCAAACCACTACCTTAGTATCTGTTTCGGTAGACAGATTAATTCCACAAGCGTGAAATTCTGCTAACTAGCAATAAACTAAGCTGCTGAAAAATACCTTATATGATAAGGGGCTCCACCTTTAACAGCTATCGTGAGACATCTTGGTCTTATAACGTACAATTACCTATCGCCCTTTGTTCACTGATTTTGAGCTTCGATCTGTTCAATAATTCAACATTTTTGCAGATGCGCCCACTAATAAACGAAAACCCATCATTTATCTACTAAATAATAAAAATGTAGTTACGCTTCATGTTAGATTAGTCTATTTCATATAGTATCATTTACTATGCTACATAACTGCGAGCAATATCAAATAGACCGACTTATTACAATATGAGAGTAGTTACATTTCTTTTTAACAACAATAATTCATAATACAATAATAAATTTGTTTATTTAAATCATTGGATCTAATCATTTTGTTATCATTACCTTTTAAATATAGACTATACGGTAAGACAGGTGAATGTTCTGTCTGTCAGAAACGAGTACAACCTTATGAATTTGTCATGAAGGTAAAGAACAGTGTTTACCACCTATCTTGCTTTTGTTGTCAACACTGTCAAATGAGGTAAGTAGCTCAATGGAAGCATTTTTCTACGTGTACGATAGTAAACTTAAAAAGTAAGGAGATTTAATAATAATAATAATAACTCACTGAAAAAAGAAACAAAAGCACAGTAATTCCTCATTTTTTTACTAACGTCTCTATGTAAAAACACGTTGACAACCAGATTGAAGTTAGAGTGCCTTAAAAACATTCACTTTATTTGTGCAGTTATCTACTTGTAGTTTTGAGGCAGAATAAAACAAGTTTCTTATCCACTTCAGATGAATTTTATTTTTTAGGTAGATTCATTTTACAAAATCTCCAATAAACCGCTGATCAAATGGCTTATTTTATTTTTCGTCTTCTACTAAATGAAACTAAAACTTTTCCTCAATAAGATGATTCTTTCACAGATTAGCGCTGGTAAAAACAGAAGGTTAAAAATTTGAAAATATATTTCCTTCTCCTCTAGGGAAGATATTAATTCTTGTCTAGACGATGACTAAAATTCTTAGGCTTTAAGATTTATCGAACGTCAGTATGCAACATTTCTAATCGAAACCGATCAGTGATAAACCATAACTTACCTGTTAGTGTGTCACACATTTATATGACCATCCAGTACCTGAGTGCCTTTTTAAAATTGTATTTTTTTTTTTACAGAAATTTCAAATAGTTGTTCTCCAGGTCATTGGCTATCTAGTGTTGAGGCTTTATACCTCCTTATTTTATATAAAGTGCATTGATATTTGCGTACTTCTCAATAAGCCAGATTTGTATTTAATAGTTAGATGATAATTCTAAATTTCCACTGATTGTTCAGTTGTCATTTTGCTGTATGACTGTCATCTCCGTATGTCAGTAACTTAATTACCATTTAATACATACAGTCATGTAGTTCAATGATTAAGAAGTAACTAATTTACTAATCTTTAGTAAATGTTTAATCTTTTTTCTAATACAGATTTTGTATTGGAGATCGTTTTTACCTGCACGACAATATCATCTTATGTGAACATGATTATATGGAGTTGTTTCCACACCTATTTGCACAGAATATCAATATACCTCAGACAGAAAGAACTGAAATGATTGTGAATACAAGCGTTATTGAATCTTGTTTGTGTTTAAATGAATCATTGATAAATAAACAACCTAGTGATGCTGACAGTGTTAGTCAAAGTGTTGAAACTGAGACAAAGTTAGAAATTAATTCTAACTATTCTAAATGTATTACTTCAAATATTCCTATATACGAAAAAACTAAGGTACAAAATGATTATGAGCAAATGCCAAGCTCTAATACATCATTGGTAAACATGGAAAATCAGTTGTATTTACCGCCAAATTTATTCGATGCAAAACTGAATGATGCAGCAACAATATCAGATGATCGTTCAAGTGGTTATGGATCGCCTAGTTCACCGGGAAATAGTTTTCATGACAAAATATAAATTACTTTTTCAATAAGATCATTCATTTATCAATAATGTCAAGTCTATCATTCAGTTGGATGAATCTGACAATAATGAAGTGAATGAATCAGTGATGAAAACTATTTAACAGAAGTAATCTTTACCGCTAATATCATTCAAAATTCTCCAAATAATTAGTTTGAAATGGTAATTGGAATAATATTTCCAGTTGTGAAATAATGCAAAATACAAATGAATACTTCATTCTCTAATGAATACAATGCAAATTAGTTATTACTTTTTGAGATTTAATTATAGGAAAAGACAAGATGTAGTTTCAGTGAAGAGAAATCTTTCTTGTCGATGAAGTCATTTACTAAGCTGTACATTCGTTAATATATATGTGACAGTGAGCAGAACGTTGCAGAAGTATTTCTGGTTAGGGGGTGAAATATATGTAGAATAAGTAAAGGAAGTTAATTAATGCACATTTGCGTTTAGAATGGGAAAATAAACAAGGGATTATGAAATTAAATGTAATTGCGTAGTATAGGATGGCAATGTAGGAAACTGAACGAAGGGTCATGAAAGTAAAACTTGGATTATGTAATACCGGCTAAATCTTTGACAGAGTAGGAAAATAAGCAGGGGATTATGATAATAAGATTGTAATTACGTAGTGCAGGTTAAATCTATGATATAGTAGCAAAATGAATAAGGTATAAAGAAAGTGCACGTGTAGTTTCCTGATACAAAATTAATCTATTGGAAGAAACAAGAAGTCAGGTACGAAGGAAGGAATGTTTATTCTCAACCAGTGGGACAGTAGTCGTTAAATATGGTGCACCTTGCACTAAAAGCATTATTTGCAAAATGTGCTTCATTTCATCTTCTGCTTCTTTCTTGATTTGCTTTTCGTATGCCTGTCTCGTCTCTTTAATTTCTCTTGGTGGAATCATTACCAATTGCTGGTGATTCCCTATGATTTCTGTCGCCCTCTCAACATATACTACTTATATCCATTCTTATCAGCAACGCACACTACACTGTGGCAGACAAGGCTTTATGATGGTCATGGCAAAGATAAAGGTTGAAGGTACCTTTTTTAGACGCACAACGCAGATTTGAACTTCTGGATCTCTAGTTCTTCATCTATTACAATCTTATTATCATAATCCCCTGCTTATTTTCCTACTCTGTCAAAGATTTAGCCGGTATTACATAATCCAAGTTTTACTTTCATGACCCTTCGTTCAGTTTCCTACATTGCCATCCTATACTACGCAATTACATTTAATTTCATAATCCCTTGTTTATTTTCCCATTCTAAACGCAAATGTGCATTAATTAACTTCCTTTACTTATTCTACATATATTTCACCCCCTAACCAGAAATACTTCTGCAACGTTCTGCTCACTGTCACATATATATTAACGAATGTACAGCTTAGTAAATGACTTCATCGACAAGAAAGATTTCTCTTCACTGAAACCGCGTCGTGTCTACTTGGTACTTGTAATGTTGCCTTGTTATGCACGACTGAACTGATCAATCTCTCATGGTATATGGACTCCTATGCAGGAACCTCGATATTGTCTGATTATTTATTATATTGTAACGTGCCTCTTGGATTCCACTGAGAACCACCACGAAGTACATTGAACCACAGTGTAAATTGCTTGTTATGTGTAATTTAACCACAATTCTCAAAATAATTACTGAAATGCGCTTATATAGAATGCGAAATATAATGAACGCTCAATAATGTTAAGTGATAATTGCAAAAATGAATATTACAGCTGAAAGTTTCACTACAACAGTTCAACGTTCAATACGCTTTCATACTTTCACTTCATCCACTTAATTAGCGGAATTTTCAGTTAGCATATCTAACACAATAGATTTCCTAGATTCTTGAAAAAATGACAATTATTATACAGTCAATCAGTAGTAATAATATTTCCTTATTTGATACATGATATACCGTATCTATGTAAGCGGAAAGAGTTAAAAAGGAAATAATACAAAGTTGAATAATTTATAGCGGAAGTGTCTCTCTGTCTCACAAGAGTTCTCATATTAGCATATTCGGTTTGCTTATTTGATTCAGCACTCTGTGATACTGTATTATTTACTGCATGAAGTTTCAGTCGTAAGTTATTGATGGGATTACTCGAAGTAATTTATTGCCGACATGTCATCAAGTAAATAATATAGTATTGCTAATTTCTGAATCAATTAAACAAATCTAATTTGATGATATGAAACCTCCTGTGAACCAGTAAGATAGCTTCATCATAAATTACTCAACTGTGTATTAGTTCTTTCTTACTTCGTCCCACTTACATATGATACGATGCGGTATGTATCAGATAAGGGAAGATTATTACTGCTGACTGACTGAATAACACGTATATAGTACTGTACTGCTATGCGCAACGTCGAATAAATAAATAAAACATGAAATTACATTCAACCACTGAGGTCTTTATAGTATGAAAGTAGCCATTCCAGTGTTCAATACACTTTGGTTGTTATTTACTCATCATAATGTGTAAAACAGACTATTGATTTCATGATAAGTTTCCTGAAAAAGAAACTTTCACAAAAATAGTTACATTGTATGAAGAACCACAATGGTCCTTCGTCACATAATTGTGCTTATTTTTTATTCGACTTCGTGGACAGTTCTTTAAACCCCTGCCAATGGTATCATCAAATATACCATTCAGTTGACTCGCTTGCAGCAAATCATCTAATCTTAAAAGCTATAAATACAACCATTTCACCCCAATTATATGTTCGCCCACAGTGATCACACATAATCACATGTTAGAATGAGAAAAGGTTGTAAGATATACATAGTCTACCTACCTACCAATATCCTTCCAGTCCTAAGACGCGAAATGTTTCCGCGAAGTAAACTATAAAAACAATTACTATGCAATTGAGTATTATGTTTCAACAAATCAGCTGTAATCGATTTCAGTAAAAGCATTTACATGGTATTTGTTATTGAGTGTTTGATTCAAAAGTTAGACCATAAAATGAGCATAATCGACAGGTTGATTACAGGTTTGCACATAAACTCTTTCAGTCAAATTAAAAGTTGGAGACGTTTTTAGCCCTGATCTATCATATGAGGTCCTAAGAGACTTTCAACATTTTGACTGTGTTTTACCTATTAAAATTCAAAATTGGCCTTAAAAATAATCTTGACTTATGTTCATTTACTGACGAACTAATTTCTTCTAAAATTGTTTACAACATAATCCAACTAATGCTAAAGTTATACGTGAAATTTATCTAGGATTTTAGCATTGTAATCACAGCTTCTTTGAGATGATCAACATTATTTTCGTTGAATTTACACAAATAAGTAATTATATTTTACGCTACAAATAATGAAGAAGAATGAAGATTTCCTACCGACTGTTTCTTGGTCCTACAAGTATGAAGACGTTTATATACTGTTTCCTAATTTCTGGTAACCGACACGATAAAACTTCAATTTGAATATCGTTAAAACTCTTGGCAACCCTAGGAAAGATATTAATTCCCACTATAGGTCACATTATATTACGCTTGAATCAACTGTTTATTACACAGAAAAGTAATTGGCTGCTGATGCAGTCAATATATTTTGTCCTTGTTATGGTTTTATTCCAGGATTTTCAAAATTTTCCATCTACTGCCAACAATTCTATTTCTTTTTCCGACACAATGCACATTGTTCAAAAACTTTGAATAATTACTAAAGAAACATGAAATAGTCCAGTTCTTCTATTGAATGTCAAGGGATTCGAAGTCAGAAAACACTTATTCACTGTACCATTCTAATTAAATTTTTATGACCATTAAAATGAAGTACCATATGTGGAAGTCACCATTGTATGATGTCGGCCTTTTAAGTCTCCTTTTATGAAGTTTTGTGCATTTTGACACTAAGTTAAGGTCCGAGTTGTCAAAGCAGCATAAGTTTCATCAAAAATGCAGGTACATCTTGATATTAGTGCCCAAATTCCCGTAATGTAATTGAAACAAGGATTCCCATGAACTGATACTGAGTATCTAACAAAGGACGCAGTGTAAAGAAGTGGCTTGTCATATAATCCTGTGGCCAAAGTGAATATCTGGTCTTAGGAAAAAGTTGATTATAATTCGAGAACGAATGACTGCAAGCTTTCATTACTTTAATGAATTTTTTCCTGACTGTTTTAAGAAATTCTGACTCTCGCTTGAAACTTTAGCTTGATCTAGGACCCGTTTATTAAAGATCAGTCAGGTATCTTGACTTCAACAACTGACGAGAGTGATAATTAATAGCTTGTTATGATTTCCATGCTTAACAGAGGTAAGTGATATCTGTTCAAAAAGCCACCATACCCACAGATGTTGGCCATTTAGAAAAAAGACTTATTGAGCGAAGAAATACATTCATTTTCAATTAGGTCTTCATCTTGGGCTCTACACCAATACATAGTTTTACAATTTAATCAAATTATCAATCACTTGGTGATGTTTCCAAAATAATGATGTAAATAATCAACTGAGTTACTAAAATTGGAAATACGAAACAAGCTATTCTTTCGTAAATGGAGTGACTTTCGATGAGTGTTCAGTCATTCATAACAAGCGACTACGTAACAATGAGAAACCAAATGAATAATGACAGAAACAAGAAGTGGAAAAGGTGCACAAAATAAACCTATAAGTTACATCATGTTGACGGCCATGGAAATGAAAGTGATCGAACAAACTTCTCTTGGATACAAAGGCTAGGCTTGTAAAGGTGGATTGTAATTGCCTCTGCTATGTGAAGTAACCGAGTGCGTAATCCATGCGGTAAATTAATTGAAATCTGATGGATGATTTTGAAAGCTTTTCTAGTATCAACTTGATGTCCCCTGTCAACTAAGTGTGCAAGTATGAAGCTTTTTATAGTTCTAATTTGTCCCTTGGTCAACCATGATGGGTGGTGCTCAGAAGTTCAACGATGAAACTGCTTCATTGTACGCCCAACATAACTAGCTCCAGAGAAGCAGTTGAATTGATAAATGCACATGGAAGGAAGTGGCAGAATCAGGCAGTTTGTCTTTATTTCTTGCATCTAGAATGGAGTGGTTTTAGAAGATGGGATATAATTTCTCGGCTGAAAATGCTTTTTGCCAGGCTGTTTTTATGAGTTGTATGATGATCTCACTGGCACTGTCACTCTTGAACATTATCTTCAAGAAGATGTGCTTGTTAGGAACTGTTGTC